AATTATCCTTATTAATGATTATTGTTTTGAGGTATTCTATTTTCTAGTAATTTTTAATGAGACTTGAATATGTTCATTTCACGTTAATTTTATACAGCTTTCAAGATTTCTATTAAATTGCTTGCCATGAAGATAAAGATTGTCAGATTCATTATCCTTAAATGCTGATGTGATTTTCCCATTATGATTCTGCCCTTGTTTTTACATGAATGATTTGTGCTTGCTTTGAGCCCTTATCATTAGTATATTCTCTTTACTTTATTTCACTTATTTAATATTGAGAGTTGCAGACAACTTTATTGACGATCTTTGTTATTTCTATGACAATTGATAAAAAAGCGTAAGTGTCAAAACGAAGATAAGTCGATCTTCTACTTTATTAATATTCCTCTTGAAATCTTATAGATGAAGTTATAAATTTATGTGCCATGCTTAAAATGTCATGGTGTGATCTGTTGTTGATTTTAATATATATATTAAGGTACATTGTGTTTAGAATTCAAAAGACAGTTAGACTCATATGGTTAAATTCTTTAGTTCACTTTTGTATAGACATTCTATGTGCAATTTGCAAGGTAAGTCTTACCTCCCGATTATGTTGGAATATGGTAGTATAAACAAAGACTTTGTTCTAATGATAGAATTCCAAATGTGCTTATTATTATGACTAACGTGAATGATTGAAAACTATATTGCAAGGTTAATGTGCATTGGATCATTCCTCCAATTCGAAGAAAAAATCTGATTTTATTTTATTGGTTTTATAATTTGATTTCCTTGAATACAATCATTAAAACCGATGTCGTTATCGAATACTATAAGTTGATAAGAGATGTGGCCTAAACTTTTATCTTCTTTTGATATTTTTACAAATACCTATTTGTGGTTGTGATATTATGAAAATAAAGTTTTTTTAGTGTTTATGATAGTTTACGGAAGAACAATCATGATGATGATGACATAGTTGACAACCTTTAGGTACACTTACTATAATTTGTATTTATTTGTCATATTTCTCATAATGAATTAATATTAATATGTATAATACAAAAATTTATTGCAAGTTTCAGAAGAGCTACATGTATTCCTATTTGAATGAACAAGTTTATGACATATATTGTACTTTCGAATTTTGAAGAAATTTGTATCTTAAAATTGTCTATCTTCTTTTGTCTGTATTACATAAGTTATAGTAAACCTATATTGCAAAAGTTATTAAAAGCTCTAAAAGAACTAAATGTATTTTATTCAAATATATTGTCCTACAGACATAATATTTTGAAAAAAAGAATCTAAGAAGTATTTTTTAAGTTAGTATTTTGTTTTATTGTGGTTAAAAAAAAATCACGAGTGTCGATTTACTTCATTCTCTGAAGTGATGTGATATCTTATAACAAAGACCCCTTTAGCAATTATGGTTGTGGTAATAGATGTGTCCATAATTGCGGTCATAATCAATGATATTGTGGTCATTTTAAGAATACTTACACTCATTAGAACTGAGAATGATTGAAAATTTAATTTATTATTATTTGTTCTAGTTTATTACTTGTTGTTCCTAGAAATATGCATATTGGAAAGGCACCAGAGTATGAGATGGATATGAAAATCGGTTTAACGCAAACATGTCTCTTGACTAATATTGTTAATTTGTATATATAGTTCTTTATTAACGATTATGTAATGTTTCAGATAAAGGGAAAGTTTATGGAAATGAGAGTTGATAACTAATACGTTGGAATATGTGGTTATATGGTATATTCCAAGTTCATACTTTCATAAAGGTGTGTACCTAATATTGAATTCAATTAATTATAGAAATTTATAATTTTTTAATAAGATTAAACTCATAATAACCGGAAGTTTACAAGTTTGTATAAATAAGATTGAATCAAATGTTACAGTAAACCGGAAGTTTATAAGTCTAAATTTTAATTAGTTGGCATGATTGGTTAGACCATCTCAATCAATAACGATGCAAAAGTTATTGGGATTTACAGAACCTGAAGTTCTTGTGTTACTTGTTCCCAAAAGAAATTCAGAACATCACTAGTTAAAGTCGAGACCGAGTGTCTTGCATATCCGATTGAAATATGGGTCCATTTATCAACAAAATAGAAAACTTTGATATGATTTCAGTAGATGGATATACAAGACAAATTACATATATTACCAACTCACAACCTGTAGTTTGTGAGAAAAAATGAAAAGCTTCAGATTATGCAATTAAGAGTATTCATCTTGATAAACTTAGTGAGTTTATATTCCGGGCTTTCAAAGATTATATTGTATATCAATTGAAATAACAATTACAAACCCATAGTTTATGAACAAACAATTTGGCAAAAATTTTTATTGCTTCCTTTTAATAACTAAACTATGAGAACGAAGTTCTAGTATCTATATAGTAATTCACATATAGAACTATTACACATCAAGCCAATAACTTATACTCCTCCTTATGATTGGCTTATGGTCAGAAGCCAAATATTTCCCATTATAAAAGTTTTAGTTGATTAATTATGTGTTTATATTGATCCACCATGAATGCACAAAAATTGATATTTGACGTAGATTGGGAATAATTATATATATTGAATATAAGTCTCAATTTATTGAATGCTTTGAGATTCAATTATTTTTCATCAGGGGGAGAGAAGAATCACCTGGATGAAAACATAAAGGAATTATCATTTTATTTAGATCCTCATACATAGTGATGTGAACCAAAAGTTCATAAAATAATTCATTACAAGTTAACTGCCATAAATATTTACTGACCTAATGAGAGTAATCAAATCTAATATACCAGTGAAAAATGCTCTAAATTTGAATTGAAATCCCAAAAGGATAACATGTTAGAGCAAATGAATGTAAACCATGCCTGAAACATGATAGTTTCGACGATTAAAATTCTCGTAAATGAAAAGTTGTCTAAGATGGTCATATACCGGAGGCGGATCTTAAAGAAACCCAAGACATAACTAATAATACAATTCTAAAAGAGTTTCAGGAACCTGAAAAATAAAAATAAAAATAATGAATAGATCTCGATAAGTTATGTCATTACGAGAAAATGATGGAACCAAAAAGAAAAGTTGTCGAAAACGATTTTACAAATAATATTTCTATAGAAGTAAAGAAAGAAAATGAGGATCTTGAATTGAAATCTATCCAAAAATATATATGTCAAAATAATTTGAGATACATGGAAAGACGTTATTCAAGTTAAATCAACTTCAAAAACATGAACAAGTAGTCCAAACACCTAAAGGTAATAAAAGTAAAGTATAAATGAGTAGTTGTAACATATACAATACGACTTAAATCATGAAGGTTTTACTTCGTGGTGGATTTAATTGCTTTATTACTCTGGCAGTTATGGTAAAACTCTATGATGCGTTTAATGATTTGCGGATCCATATATAGTGATATTTACCTTATTAAAATGCCTGAAGCATTTGAAAACTTTTTGGAAATTTGTACATATATATTTGATTAAATATTTAGATAAAATGAATCATTATTAGTGTATATGGCATATCTGAATTGATGAGAGCTTACTAGCTCATATATTTTATAAAGACATCAAGATCAAATTATGTTATTGTATACTTTGAATTGAAACTCCTAAAGGGCTTTCAAATATAATTCATGAAGAGTTACAAAGTATCTTGATTGTTTAAAGAATATTTGAGATAAAGAACCTTGATATCAAGTTTTGTCTCGACCTGTAGATCGAGTACTTAAATTAGATCAATTGAAAAGATGATACATCAAAGGAAACATATTTTTCTAAAGTTTCCTCCCTGATCTTCGAAAGAAGAATAATGTAAATATTTGACGAATCAATTCAAGTAGTAATTTGAAAAGATGTATTCATCGATATATCGTTTACTTGAACATTTGAAGATTGTATTCAAGATTGAGTTGTAATATTCAAGGATCTTATGTGATACTATTATGAGGGGGAGTAAATATGTGTTGTACTCTTTTTCACTTAACAAAGTTTTGTCCCACTGGGTTTTCCTGGTAAGGTTTTTAATGAGGCAACATGTTATGCATATTAAAGATATGTGTACCATTTTTCTTTCATTAAGATTTTCTCCCATAGGGTTTTTATCCTAATAAGGTTTTAATGAGACACATTATCTTCGTAGACACCCAAGGGGGAGTGTTATGAATATTTATTTATATGGATGTCTATATCTATCTTTCATTTCTATTTTAAGATAAGATTTTGATATACTTTATTATTAGGACTTTAATATAGATTAGAGTTAGAGTTCTATATTATATATACTCTTTATGCTTATAAATATGGAGTTAGGACTTTAATATAGATTAGAGTTAGAGTTCTATATTATATATACTCTTTATGCTTATAAATATGGAGTTCAGAGAAAACATTGCACACAACTCATATTGAAATAATAATTCAATTATCTCATTTATTCTTATATCAACTGTTCTTCTTGTTCCTATTATTGCTTCGTTTCATTTATTTCATAAAAATATATTATTTAAAAAAATAAATTATTAACAATATTAATATTTATTTAATGAATTTTTTAAAAAATAATATAAAATTTTCATGTATTTAAGGTTTAAACTCGAGTTTAAGCTTCAATCGAGTTAAGTATAAGATTTTTTTTTCATTTCAAGCTTTTACGAGCTTGAATTCATAGTTTTGTATTCAAGGAGAGCTTTAAAATATTAGGAAATAATAAAATTAAAATTAAAATATTTCAAAATTCAAGTTAAAACTCAAAGTTAAAACGGATATATATATATATATATATATATATATATATATATATATATATATATATATATATATATATATATATATATATATATTTAAGGAAGGAATCACAAGTGTTAAACCAGCATATTTTAGTGGGCTCACACATGGAGCCTAATTAGCGATGGTTGGGCAGTGAAATTAAAATGGCCAGACCCGTAAATCCAGTGAGTCAACCAAAAACCCTAACTCTAAGATCATCACCTCACATATATATCTTCTACAAAGCTTTCATTCTGTTTTCTCCATCCTTCTTTCAGTAACGAGGCAGCAGCGGCACACAACTTGGCGCTCTATTTCTCTCTCGTCCTCAGGTTAAAAGCTTGCGTTAGAGTAGGGCCTTAGATCTTTATCCTGGAATTTTTATAGTCTTTATCTTTAATCTTAATTGTAAAATCCCATAATATTCTGGCTTGAATCATTTTCCGTTTTTGCAATATATTCACTTGCTGGAGTTGTTTTATTTATTTATTTCATCTGAAAAGGATTAACAGTCTGTTCCCTTTGAGCTTATTTCTTTAACCTTTTAAAGATAATTATGGGTTTTGAGCTTTACAAGGAATATGTGAAAGTTTGATTTCTCTTGTAATTTTGAACTTTGTTGTTGAATTCCATGTCCTGATTTATTCCTATGTTTTTTTATTTACTTGTTGATGGGGTTATTTATTTATTTGGAATTTAATTATTCTGAACAGAAGCAAAGGATCAAGAAGCATGGCGTATGCAGCAATGAAGCCGACCAAGCCTGGCTTGGAGGAGGCTCAGGAGCAGATTCACAAGATTAGGATCACCCTCTCCTCTAAGAATGTGAAGAACCTCGAAAAAGGTACAATATTTTGTATGCACAACGGATTATATTACATTTGTTGCGATTACTTCACTGGGCATTATTGTTAATTTATTCATTCAATTTACTTTTCCTTGGTGGTACATTATATACAAAGTTTCCCGATAAAGAAAGTGTTTTTGAATGATTGATGATATGGATTCAATTGATATCCGACTGACCAGCATTGGTAACATTTTCCTGTTTGACTGATAGTTTGTGCTGACTTGGTTCGTGGTGCCAAGGATAAGAGATTAAGGGTTAAGGGACCAGTAAGAATGCCCACCAAGGTTCTTCACATTACCACAAGGAAATCTCCCTGTGGTGAAGGTATGTTCTTATGTTGCATCTTACGGTCTGAATGTTACTGGACTGCTTTTAATTACACACTTTGATCATTATCGTGAAAGCATGTTCAAAAAATTTTAAAAAGGACTTTATGTGTATGATTCCCGTGCCCTCTACTCTAGTTTTAATATTGGAACGATCAGTAAGGACTTCCTTTTCTTAGTTTGTGCACGTTTAAACATATGGAAAATTTGTGTTTAATTGAAGCGTTTAATGTTTTAGCTACCTGGTGCGCATCTTCCTTATCCCCCTGCATAGATGGAGCTTATATGTTAAATTGTTCTTTTAGTTGGATTCCCACCGGTTTACCATTGAAAATGATAGTCAGTGTAGGTTATGGTTGGGGTTTTACATGCAGGCTGATAAAGTGAAGCATGCTAAGATTTTCGTGTAACGCGAGTAATTTGTATGGATGATTGATGAGACTATTTGCATTATTTGTAGGAACTAATACATGGGATCGATTTGAGCTTCGTGTTCACAAGCGAGTCATTGACCTATTCAGTTCACCGGATGTGGTCAAGCAGATTACTTCTATCACCATCGAGCCTGGGGTGGAGGTGGAGGTCACCATTGCAGATTCTTAAATGTACCTCACATAGTCTTTCTAGTTTTGTTGGATTTGAACTCTTTCATCGGATGTTACCTTTGCAGATTTTGACTTTGATACTTGAAAGATTATGGTTGAATTTTCTGTTTATGAATTATTTGAGATTAAAGTATCACGAAATGAGCACAGCTTCGTGTTGCTTTAAATATAAAATCCAATAATCATTCATTTGTATTGCTCGGGATTCGGTAATCGAGCAAAGGGTATGGCAACAAGTGATTCCCTTTTCTTCAAAACAACCCCAAATTTCTCTTCTACATCAGGTATTGTTCCACTTGGCGTTTTCCATTCAAATGAATGCACCAACGCACCCAGGAGGATTGCCGCCATTTTCTTCGCCAATGCAAGTCCTACACAAATCCTCCTCCCGGACCCAAATGGTAAATACTGAAAGTTATTCCCTCGATGATCAATATCACCTCTGAAGAATCTCTCGGGCTGAAACCTAAGAGGATCATCCCAAAATCTAGGGTCTCTTTGCATGGCCCATGCATTGATGAAAACCCTGGAATGTTTAGGGATGGTATATCCAGCAACAATGGAGGTCTGGCTGGGCGTGTGAGGCAAAAGCAAAGGAATAACCGGATGAAGGCGGAGGGTTTCTCTTACAACAGCGTCCAGATATAGTAATCGAGGAAGATGAGTCTCCTCCAATTTGTTTTGCTTTCCGACCACCGTATCTAATTCCTCGACGAGTTTCATCATTATGTCTGGATGTCGTAGTAATTCGGTCATTGCCCACTCTACAGTAGTGGGTATTGTATCTGTACCCCCGACCATCATATCCTATCCACAAATTCAGATATAGAGATTAATATCGTAAAATTTTCAGAACCATGTAGTGTAAATAATTTAATACAGTGAATAGTTTAATAAGTTAATCTTTCAAACTTAGCGTAATAATTGTTTTCATCATGACTTTTTTTATTTGTTAGGTACAATTTTAAAGATTAATTATAGGAATACGAAAAAGAAATACCAAATGATTTTGTGGACATTAATTATTACCAGAAGTAGAGCCTTTATTTCGTTATTGGATAGAGAGCTGTTACCATCTCCTCGTTGGTTCAGCTCCAACATCTGCTGCAGAAAATCTCTATTAATTTTATCATCATTCTTCTTTCTATTGTCTTGGAGCTTCAGTCGGTTCATAATCACTGATTCGAATATCCCATAAAACCACGACAGATGCTTCTTCGATTTGGATACAATTCCTTGTAAATCAAACGGAGCAATAACTGGGAAAATATCAGAAATGTTTGGTGCTAGAAATAGTCTTACAAATTCATCTAATCGCTTCTTTAACTCAATCAAATCAGTGTTTCCTTCTGATGTACCACCCCATAGCGTGCTTATCATCACTTTGACGGTAGTTAGCGCTATTTGTTCACCAAGATTAACCGGCGAACCGATTTTCCGGTGAATATCCTTCACCATTTGTCTAATCTCTCGTCGACGAAGCTCGTAGCAAGAGTCGAGGCTTCTTTTGCTCATAATTTCACGAATAACAAGCTTACGCAGCCGGTTGAATTCGGGACCGTTTGGTCTCCAGGCGATGTCGAGGCCACCGAAAGTGCCCTCTATGGCGGCCGCTGGTAAATCACGGTTGGCGAAGATAGCGTCCTCGTCTTTGAGGATCACTTTCGCAAGGGATGGTGAACTTATGACAACACAAATCTTTGTCCCGAGCTGAAGGTTGAAGATGGGACCATAGATTTCAGACAACTCGGTGAAGTAATGATGTAAATCAGGTTTGATGAAAGGAAGGTTTCCTAATATGGGCAAGCCTCGAGGACCAGGTGGCAGAGGAGGGTTTATTTTGGCGAAACTCTTACCCCAGCACCACCATGCACAACAGAAAATTGCTAGCGCCGCCGCGACAAGAGGAGCGAATCCATGGGCACTGCTGCAGCTCCATGGGCGGCCTTCGCAGGCAAGAACTGTGATCTTTTCGTATAAGTTGGGAACCATTGTGTACCGGATTTTTAAGATCGAAAGTGGAAGAAATAGACTTACGTGTGTCTTGCAAAGAAGCGTTATCAGATTACGTACATAGCTTGTTTCCTTGCATCTTCTTTAATAATTGTGGACTTTTGTTCGTCTGCCCAAGCAATAGTTCATAGCCACCTGGACTTCTTTTGTAAGGGGTTATAGGAACTAAAGTCAGAATACAATGGCTTCTTTGAATTGTTCATATGTAGTATTACGCCTGATGGCTCCTGTAATTATTGCAATCAACAGGCGGCTTCAGGGAATTCAACATCTTTTGCTCCATTTGTGATAATATGAAAAGGAAAGGCTTTGGAAAAAAGAGTTCACTTCTTTTATTACTTGGATTTTCAATATCTCTGAAGAAGACCAGCTTATTTATACTGCATGATAAAGTCGGTGGCAGTAACCTGAGTCTAAACAATTTCAACAAATAAAGATAATTAAACATTTTACCACGTAATTCGATATTACTGTCTACTGGTATAGCTCCGAAGAAACGTGTACCTCCTCACCAGAGCTTTCACTGACACTAGCAGTTACATTAAAGTCACCTCTAATGAGCCAAGCAGAATCACCAATTCTAAAATTAACAACACTAAACTGCTGCTGAAGACCCCTCTTACTCACCCCATTATTATTGCCATAGACTGCAGTAATAACCATACTCTCGCCACCCAACTATCTTGGATAGAAAGTCTGATCAACTATATGTAAAACAGAAAAATGAAGCCCTTTTTTTTCTATAGAACCCATATCCTACCATTAGCAATAGAGCTATAGTTCCAACAATAATTCCAATCAGCAGCTAAACTATTTACAATGTCAATAGATTTATGTTCCTCGACTCTAGTTTCAAGTATACAAAAGACCTTAGCATGCAATTTCTCAATTTTATGCACGACCCTAGCTACTTTTTTGGGATGATTAAGTCCTTTTACATTCCAAAAAATAGCATTCATTGAGCAGGAGAGGAAAAACCAGCCCTTCGAACTTTTTCCAGTTGATCATTCTTTTTGGATTTCAGATCCTGCAAAACATTAGCCACCTCTTGAGAAGCTAGCCTTGGCTTCCTTGCAGTAATTTCCACCTCTTCTAAGCCGCCCCCATAACATCAAATCGATTTGAGGAGCTGGCAAATGTCACCCTTCCCTTATATCCCTTCTTAGCTTGGCCTTTCCTCCTCTGAAATGGAGAATCCAGAGAAGGAATGCTATCAGGCTTGGCTTTACCACTCTCAATTCCATTAATACATGCTTCTTTACCCTTAACAACATATATTGTTCTACTGCCACTCACCTCCCCGGCTTCCTTTTCTTCAGTCACTTCCTGACTAACACTCAGTTTCCCCAACAACATTGACCACCTCATGGCCCTGTACTATTCCGATGGGAAGTAATCCAAAGATTGCTCCTTCACCCCAGAGAAGAGCCCCCTCCAATCCACAGCCCTTCACAAGAAATCAAGCTTCCATTGCAGATCTAGTCAACAATCGAGCAAGCAATAACCAAGAAACCCCCCCCCCCAAAATCCCCAAGAACAATAGTTCTGCTATGAGAGAGAAAAACGGTTATTTTCCACGGTTATTTCACAGTTAATTCTATTCAACCTTAATTTGTTTTATGTAGTAATGTGAAAGTACACTTGGAGATGGTATAAGTAAATTTTTAAGTCTATGCTGTATTTAAATAAATATATCAAAACAAAGCGGAAAGAGTTTCACCCTTTGTTCATCCCATTTTTTATAAAAATACCCTGACCCATCGACATTCAAGTTTTCAACACCTTGATTTGAGGATGCCAAATTCATTACCAGGAACTAGCCACCGTAATTGAAAGCTCAAATTTCAATGATATCACTTGGACGAAGCTGCGGTCAAGATGGAATGTAATATATTGGACTATTGCTAAGCCCACCCAACTTGCTATTAAATGAACAGCCACTCTCATTGAAAAACTCGGAGCGAACAAATGGAGCTTGATTTTTGGGACCTAAACTTTGAATAGGTACAGGTACCAATAATGTTTGTTAGAGAGTCTTGGAAACTCATTCTTGGTCTTTGTAGTCTGGATCATGCGGTGCCGTCATTAGAGCATGAGTTGGAGTGGGCGGTTAACTATTCAAAGGATAAATCTTTCTTCTCTTACTAAAATTAGCTAGAAATGCTTTTATTTATTGCATTTAGGAGGGAAGAAATAAGAGTATTTGGAGGCTTGGTTAGTGGAGAGTTGGATGTTCTGAATCTACAATGGAGGTTGTTCGATTTAATCTCTATAGAAGAAAGTTTGATAGAATTGATTTTGTATATATTAGGGTTTGCTTGACTGACTATCATCTTCTTTGAGATGTTCTTTAGATATAATACATACGACTCGTCAAAAAAGCAAATTAGTTGCCTGCGAGTTTGCGTCTAGAGACATCAACAATACATTTAGAATAAAGCAGTGCACGTAAACTACAAAGTAATGCTGAAATCAATAGCACACTCTTTAACGGACGTTGCGTAAAGTTTATGATTTTTTGAATGCAAATCAAACGCTTTTAAGATTTTTGCATGCAAATTCAACGTTTTCTACTATATAATACGACGCTTTTATTTATTTATTTTCATAATTTTAATTATTGCTCATTAAATAATTTAATTAGTATTATAACATTAAAAGAAATTATACCTTAAATGGTCTTTCATAACTTAATCTATATTTATCAACGTTGTTTAAAAGAATAAACTGTTATTTTATTAGACCTGAAACGAAAAAGAAAATAACACTCGAAATAAGTTGGATATTAATAGATGGGCCGATTGAATCACGCTATGAAAGAAGAAAAGGTTTTGAGCCAAAAAATCTACTAGTTTTTTTATTATTAAACGGTGCTCTAATGTCTTCAAAAAGACGAGCTTATTTATACATGATAGAGTTGGGTTCTGGTTTAGAGTGTTGATCTAACATTCAGCCTGATCAACCTCTTAACCGATTCTAGCATAAAAGAAAGATGATATACCATATGGTACAACATAATTCAGTATTGATCACCGAAATGCATTAAATATACAATCAAATGAAAGTTTAGTGGTATAGCTCCGAAGTAGAAAGTCGAGCGAAGGGTATGGCCACAAGCGGATCCATCTTCTTCAAAACAGCACCGAATTTCTCTTCAATATCAGGTCTCTTATCCCCCGGCAGTTTCCATTCAAAAGAGTGCACCAACACAGCCAAGAGGAGCCCCACCATTCTTTCGGCCATTGCAATCCCAGCACACATTCTTCTCCCCGAGCCGAATGGGATATACAGCAGATTATTCCCTTGATAACTGAAGTCGGCTTCCATGAACCTCTCGGGCTTAAAACGAAGAGGGTCTTCCCAGAGGTCAGGGTTCCTTTGCATGGCCCATGCGTTAATGAAAACCTTCGAGTTTTTAGGGATGGTGTATCCACCAATAGTGGAGGTCTCGCTGGAGTAGTGAGGCAAAAGCAAGGGAGCCACCGGATGAAGACGAAGTGTCTCCTTTACAATAGCATCCAAATAGGGCAATTGAGGAAGATGAGAATCTTCCACCAAGTTTTGAGTCCCGACCACCGTATCTATTCCCCCACAAGTTTTGTCATTATATCCGGATGTCGTAACAGTTCAGTCAATGCCCATTCTACGGTGGTTGGAATTGTATCTGTACCGCCAATCATCATATCCTGTCCAATCGTAAAATATTAGCATAATCTATGACAGATAGATGACAAATATGGGAAGAGAAAATAAATAAAAAATCGTGTGGACGATACTTACCAAGAGCAAGCCTTTACTTGTGTGTCGGTAAAAGAGGTTTTATCATCTCCTCTGCGGTTGATATCCAACATTATCTGTAGAAAATCCTTGCTGCTATAATCCCCACTCTTTAACCGGTTCTTAATCACTGATTCAAACATCCCATAAAACCAAAATACAATGCTCCTCGATTTGGATACAAGCCCCTGTAAATCGAATGGGGCAAGAACTGGTAAAATATCAGAAACGTTTGGTGTTCCCATTAGTCTCACAAAATCTTCTAATTTCGACCTCATCTCGATCAGATCACTGCTTCGTTCCGATGAACCACCCCATAGCGAGCTTATCATCATTTTTACGGTGGTAACCGCTACTTCTTCTCCGAGTTTAACCGAAGAACCAGTTTTGGCGTAAATCTCCTTCACCATCTGTCGAATCCCATCTCGACGAAGTTCGTAGGCCGCATCGAGGCTGCTTTTGCTCAACATTTCACGAATAAGAAACTTACGCATCCGGCTGTATTCGGGTCCATTGTTTCTCCATGCCACGTTGATGCCGCCGAACGAGCCTATCACGGTGGCTGCTGGAATATCACGGTTGGCGAAGATAGCATCCTGGTCTTTGAGTACCTCCTTGGCAATTGAAGGTGAGTTTATGACGATACAAGTCCTTTTCCCGAGCTGAAGTTTGAAGATGGGACCATAGGTTTCGGACAACTCCCTAAAGAAACTATGTAACTCGGGTTTGAGGAAAGGGAGGTTTCCTAAAATAGGCAAGCCTCTAGGACCAGGTGGCAGCGGAGGGTTTGGTTTGTTGAATTTGTTAGCCCACCACCATGCAAAGCAGAAAACTGCCAGCAACGCCGCCGTTATAGTGGCTGCGGTTTCGGTAGTGATGAGGCCATGGTAGTCCCATGACCAGCCTTGGCAGGCAAGAGCTGTGATATTTTCGTATATGTTGAGCATCGCCGTGTATTGATATACGATGATTGAAAGTAGAAGCCAAGGACTTGTGTTGCTCTTGTACAACGAGGAGGAATTTATATGCTATTTAGCTGACAATGACAGTGGATTATTTTCTTAGCTCCTGTATGATATTTATTGATTTTTTGCCAAAATTATCAACATTCAAAGTTTGATCCGAGGAATCGGATTTTATTATTAAAGAAATTGTTTTTGCATGTTACCGTGCCAACTCTCTAAACTTTTATATTATTTTTTATGGCAACTGAGGAGGCTAAGGCCTGACCACATCAACTA